GTTTTCAGATTTAAACAGCTACTTTGTTTCTACTTAAATCCAAAAGTTCCCAAATCTTTAGATGTTTTGGGAAAACACAGGAAAGTTGTCCGCCAACCATCGGTGGCTATAGGAAGCCTAGATATTACTTGATTCTTGGAGCTGATTTGTGATCTGGAGTCAACTTCATATGAAGTTTACATATAAAGTTGGCTTAAAAGAGTCTGTAAGTTCACTGTCGCCTGGCACATTCCAGCAACAGTTATAAATGAATATTTTTCTGCTTCAGTTTTTAGTGGTTTTCATCCAAATGTATTATGAATGAATGCAGCACCTGCAGCAGGTGAACAGTTGTGCTAGACATCAAGTATCTGATGATGTGAATAGTTCTGGTATTGGCTGCTTAGCTGCGTGTAGTTCCTTATTCATCTGGGGCATTCTGCTTTTAGCTGCTACTCCTCCATGTATGTACTTTGGATGAAGTCAGCTTCACAGTCTGTAGTTACAGACCTTTTGTCTGTTTTCTCATCTTTCCAACATGCCGAAGAGTTCAAGACATGCAATATACTTCAGGATGTGTCATACATGATACTGGGAAAGGCAGTACCTTATAAAGTTCTGTTTCTATAAAAAGGAAAGGTTGCATGTAGGCAAATAGAGATTTACTAGAAAAGCAAAACTTAGAAAGGTTAATTATCTAGATAATAGTCTGAATTATTTTAGTAGTATAGACATTCAACAGAAAGCCCTGTACATAACATTCAAAGTTTTAGTGATATAACCTGCTCAATGTAGTGTTATTTGCATTAGCTGTAGTACAGAAGGTGTAACAGGCATCAAAAACACGATTTAAAATCTGTACAAATCCAATAAAAACTGTCAAAACTATCTTTCTTCATTATTTTCAAGTTTTAATGTGATTTAATCCAGTGAAGACTTTCAAAATCATTCTGTACTTAAGCTGTAGTTTAACAGCAATTTAATCATCTTAATTTTACGTGCACTAATCTGGTGTGTTTCTTGCCAGCTTATTCTTATTTTATTTGAATTCATGTTATTATAATATGGTATTTTGGTTTGCATTGTATTAACTGTTGCTAGTAAGTTATAAATTAATAGTAACCAAACAAAACTTTAGCAAATAGTTCTTTTACTGTTAACGGGCAAAACGAATA